TTATACGATAGTTAACATTTATTTATTATTCATAGGTAGCTCATTAATATGTAAATGGCCCAAACGTAATTAATTAGATCAGTTATATGTTAATAAGCGCAGAATCAACTTAGTCGTCAATCAGCAAAGTTGTTCTGATCGCCTTTAATATTTGATGCCAATGAAATGCAGTATGTACCAGTAGCTTCCTTGGGTTGGATTGTGCTTGAAGGAACTCATTGTACTGGTTTGCTTCCATTTCATTACCATTTACTGTTTGATAATCGCAGTCATAGCATACGCACTTTCAAAACATTCTTGTCTGTTTCAGCTTCCAAACAGAAATCAAACATTTCTGGCTTTCAGTCATATCATGTTGATTCTTTAAATGTATAAAATTTCAACGCAGTACAAGTCAAATCCTGCTAAAACGAAACTCTTTGAATGCAAGAATTAATTCGTTGCAGTGTATGAAAAAAAAAGAATTTATAGACCCATTTTGTTTCAAAAAAATAGTCATTACAAAACTTTGCTTGTAGATCAAAACGTACGTTATTTTCAACTGTCATATTTTCAATGGCGCCATTAAAATGAAATTTTTGATACAATTTAACTGCTGAAAAATATTTTGTGGCATAAATAGTAGAAGACAAATATACAGAAACTTTTTTCATGCTGTCTAAAGATTCTAAGAGCAAAATTTTCTAATTAGGTGACTCAAAAGCACTTTAATCATCTTCACTTTTAGATGTTATTACATGAAGATTCCTGCGCATTAACAATAATTTCTTGGTCCTTCAACTCACTGCGAATAAATGATCGGATCGTCATATGTAATTTCATAGTTGGCTATATCCAGAACTCCCGTGACCGTAATTATAGAATTCCACATCTCTCCTGACCTCATACTCCACTTCCGTTCCAATCTTCTCTATTACAGCAGCCTGCCTTTCAAGATTACCATGCGCAAGAATCGAAGTCCTCCTAAAACGCTTTAATATGGTTGACGTTCTTATGAACCATCATGCCTCAATGATCATATCACATGCTTCTGATAACATTTTCTGTCATTGTTCTCTGAAAACAATTTTAGCAATAACTTTTCGATAAGTTGGCTCCTTTATTGGATTTTAACTGCGATTCGCAAATCCAAACACTAGAGAATTCCTGTACAACGTGGAGGTGAAAACTCGACTTTATTGTGTTCTAATACACATGTCAAAATATGTTGAACAATGATCAATTAGGGGATGGATTTTTCTGTTTTGTTTTTTTTTTCATTCGCAAATCCAAACGTTTCAGTCATGCGTTCAATATTGTTTGTCATCCATTTGTTTGAACGAATAATCGCAGAGAAGTGATTGAAAATTCTTTAGGCATCGAGGATTTGCATATCTTCCAGTGATCAACAGTTTCAGTTTTTCTGTTCCTGAAGAATTGCTACAAACCAAGGCAGTTAAAAGTAGTTTTGATTTGTTCCCTCCTGTCTATCGATATCTTTTGACAGTGGTTGTATGGTGTGGAATTAATTGACAGAACATTCCAGTCTCATGAGCCTTACAAAATATCAATAATATTATATTCTGCGATTTTCGTGGTAATTTTACCAGCACGCCATTCGTTAACTCGATCCTGTGGTACATCATTGTCTTCTCCACGGACTACCCTGAAGGGTAGTTCATATCTTTCCCAAAACCTATTAAACCTTCCAGCAGTTGCTTGAAAATTGCCATCCTCTAAAGATTCCTGATATCTGATGTCTTTTCGCGTATTACTCGGACATTAATAAAGATATTCCTTTACCGAACCTAAACCATGCAAGTAGGTTTATCGGTCTCATAATGCAAAGAGCTTCGAATCTTCTTTCTATGAGGTACTAATGCCTTCTGTTTAATCATGACTTAAAGCTTTTCACGTGCTTTGCGGTTTATGATAAATTTTTTCAAGTAGTTGAAAGAGCTCATCAACGTTACGAAACGAATAGATTTATGCACTGTTCGAATCGCCGTTGTAAACGTTGGTTAAACGGTTGATGCACGACTCCGTTTAACTTGCGCGGTTTTGCATTTCATAAGTCACTGAGGTGGCTCATTTTTTAGGGAATGTGCAACTGGAAGAGAAGGAGCGTCTGGACAATTTCAAGAATACGATCATCAATAGTCTCAAGATGCACTGCGCGTACGAAAGTGAAGCCCATCAGAAGCCACTGTACTTTTCCAAACTCATCTCCAAACTGTCGGACTTGCGATTTGTTGACTCCAAAGTCACCTACTGTTACCTGACGGCGAAAAATTCCGGGATCTCAGTGCCACTTCTTTTAGACGAATCCTGTTCGGCGTTGCTGCAATAGTTCATTTGATAGAATACGTTCCTGCATTCTGTGATATCTGTATCATTATGAAAATTGGTTTAGAAATTAGCTAAGTTCACCGATGCTAGCAAAGATCAGTCGTTGGTTTTTCACATTAAATTGCTTGCGAGTTGTGTGTCGGAAAGTGTGATCATATCAGTGTTTCATTTCAAAGTTATTGCATTCATAAAATTTGCGTTTTATCGTCTAGGTTGCTGTTTTAAGCTATTTCCAGTTCCACTGGTTGACTGTTCAGCTTCTCTGATTTAACTGATCTTAAGTACATTTTTCAGTGTACTTTTAAGAATTTTTAAACACACCCTTTTGATGACATTTGCTTTTAATGCATTGCGTTTGCAATACAACATTGACATTGCTTTGAAAGGCACAAACTCATTTTTGAACTCAACAACCGCCAGAGAAACAATGTAACATTCCTTAAAACCGGAATTTTAAAAATTTACAACAGCAGACAAAACCAACTAACACTGCTACATTGTCATATGGTGCTTCCGGTCGTAAGTACAGATGCAGCTTTAACACAGCGCGAGAAGCGTTGGCAATGAAGTATGGTCAATGCAGTGGCTACGCGAAATTCAAAATAAGCTATTTTATTGAAGAACCGAGATCGCACATGAGTTTTTCTGCAACTGCATTTTGACAGACAGTGTCTTTGGCCCGAAAACGATTCGTGCATTTCGTCTCAGCCACATCTGCTTCGCATGGACAAACGAGGCTGCTGCTTTCATAGTGCTGTTGGTTGACTAGTTTTTGACTCGGCACTTTCGTTACCAGACGACGTGGTCTGAAGACGATGTCTGGAACCGGTGATTGACGTCGGCGGTGCAGGAGACAAAGTCAATGGTCGGACAGATGTCACAGGGTTAGCATTCGTTCCGTAGTTTGTTTGGGACGATGCAGATCTTGATCTGTCATTGTAGCTTATCGAAATTTCAGAGTTGATCTGAAAGCGCTGTTGGTCTCGACCGAGACCAGCAGCAGGAGGAATGAGGACATGCTGAGGAATGGTAACCGAGCTGCTGAAAGGATAAGGAGGCAACACGGACATGTCAGACAAAGGCACCGGGCGAGACCGAGACCCAACCACGTTCAATGGTGGGGCAGCTAAACCGTAGTTCGCTGACAATGACGCGGACGGCAGGGTTGGGACTGGCAGGTAGCCGTAACCTAGCTCTGGTCGCGCACTTCCAGCCAGGTCACTCTGTACAAATTGGTAAGGCTGACTTGTAACTAACTGAGGAACCGAGCCGGTACTCTGGAG